AAAGATTGCTTTCCACCAGAGCAAAGACAGAAAATAAACGTTTTAAACACAGCTAACCAGCGCATCGCTTCCCGCATCGTCTATCTGAGATAAAACTGATAGCTGATCTATTTTTTCTACAGTGGAAATAAGAAAATAAATAAATGTAGCGTATTAGATTGTCTTACCAGTACTCTATGTTGCAATTTCCTTACAGAACTGACCAAGGAATGGGAAAATGCACTGTTGTTTTCTCCTGGAAGAGGACAATCGTCAATTTGTCATAATAAGTTGAATGAATTTGAATCATGTTTTTCTTCAAGTCAACGGTCTGCCTGTTATGTGTAGTATATCTAAGTGTAGAGGGAGAAAATCACCCTGGCCATGACAGTCAGTGCCTGCCCAGATCCTTCTCCCCCTCCCCTTCTCTGCAGATGAACATTAATGCAGGGAAGGAGAGATCTGAGCTGCAGAAGAAGAACCCTCTCCTTTTAAACTGCTGCTGTCCAGCCTGATCGTGTCAGTTTGAAGGCCCCATTCAAAAGTATTCATGCATCTGCCTTTGAGGCACAATGGCAGCTAGTTAATAAACTGTCTGCCCTGGAGCCCAAAGGCTTTAGTTCTTATTGTTTTCAGCCCCTTAATAAACTTTTTGGAGGAGTTCATCAACTCGCCTGAATAGCCTATGCAGCGAGTCTGAAGACAGAAAATAACAGAAGGTTCTTTTCTCCTCCTTCTCCTTTCTCTCTTCCTTCTAGTGTCCATTCGTCTGACAATGGAGAGACAGCTGAGAGGCTGTCAGACATCACAAGGGGTTTAGTCCCAATACATGAAAAAAGGTATTCAATTAAAATAAAAAATGCTTTCAAAAAGGGAATGGAGACAATTGAATTTCCACTTCTTCTAAACCACAGAGAGGATGATTCAAGCTCCCAAAGTCTATTTTTTAATGGAAAACACACAAAACTATACTCAAAAGACAAACACACATACACACACTTAGATAATATATTATTCTCATGATCAGTCATGAAATAGCCTACACTTAATTTTTGAAATAGAAATGTTGCAAACACACCATGATTAGCAAAACATTAGGGGTTTTTTATATTATTTTTTGGGTTAAAAATCGAAAAATCCTATCACAGGTCAGAAAAACGTTTAAACATATTTTGGAGGTTTTAAGATCTCTAGGACATCCGTTAGACGGGCAGCACATATCATGGGGATGCTATAACATGTAATATTGGCTGTAAGGCATTAAACCACTGTTATACCTTTTAAACTATGTAAAAAAAAAAGGGGCAAATTTAAAGACTTTAATAGATGTCTATTCTAATTAATTTCATACCTAATTAGCATGCACTGCCAAAGTCCATGCGCGGGCTGCCCTGTTTAGCCCGCTGGATGGCCATAATTTACAAAGTAGCGGAAAAGGCCTGGAGAAAAAAAGACCCTCCTTCCAGCAGTCCAATTCCAAGCGCCCTCATGCTGATCCTCCTCTACGTCTCCCTAGAAAGGCTCGAAAGCCGCATTTGCTGGCACTGACCAACCACCTACTGTTTCCCACCGATGCACTTGGACGTTTAAACGGCCTAATTAGATCTGACAAGTTTAACGAGTTAGTTTCAGAAAAGGAAAAGCTGGTCAAGTTCTGACTTCCGAGTCATACTCACAGGGGATCCCTAGCTTACCCCTGTCAGCCTCCCTCTGTAGCCTCAGTCTCCACCAAACGGAAAGCTAAGAATGTCACAGAGGCCCATGCAATGTCCCATAAGCTTTTTGCTAATTAATAATGGATACCTTTAATCATAATAAGAATCATAAAAAGAAGAACAAGAACAAGAACAAGAAGATCAATCATTATAATAATCATAAATAATTCAAACATCATACTGTGAGCTTATGCAATGCCATGCTCAACATTAGCTCAGGAAGAGAAAACGAACCAAATCTTGAGACCAAATATATTTCATTTTTTCCCCCACCCTTTAATATTTCATGGGTAACGTTTCTGAAATCAAACCGTGTTATAACAACGTTTTATATATAATAGGAATCCGTCACCATAATCACACAACTGCTAAAAACTATAAAAAGCTCAACCAAACATGTAGGCCTTCTGAAATCGGTGCGTTTTTGCAGAAGATGGAGGCTTCGTTGGAGACAAGTTATTGGACAAGTTGGCTGAAATAATTAAGATACCTTGAGTACCTGGGGCCCTCTCCCTGTGATACCAAGATGAATTACAGGGGAAACCGCAATGTGTTGGATTTGTAGGGGCCCCTGCACCAGTCAAATACCTGCACAGGGGTGTCTAAACCAGCCATGCTGAAGTTAAACGAAGAAAATTAAAAATAAAACGTACATTTGGCATGTAGCGTTGTGGGGACTAGTTTGGCATTAGTTATTTGTCCTATAATGTTATAACATCGATTACTATTTCATTATTCTATTATAAAGAGATTGTCAATAGAGGGTAATCGATAGTCTATAGGCCTACGTGTGTACAATACATGCAGCCCACTTGTTGCAATAGGCTAACTGAAGCATTACAGGCAATATAGACCAAAATAACATTTTGCTAAAAAATAACAATTTCTATCTGTTTTCCATTATGTCATAATTTCGTTGGAACAACAAGGTATCGATAAAGCATTGCACAAAAATAGGACTTGTCTCAATATGTCTGCAGCACCCTATAATCATTATTGAAACGCAATTCTCATTTTTTTTAAACATGTGATAAGGTCACCAAACGTTCTAGTACAAATTGGCTAAATAGACACAGACAGACATGATAGGAACATCCTGCACACTACTGCTGTGAGCGGGGGCCTTGAGGGATATACTTCCTTCATAATTTGTGCCGTATGGCTTTGGTCCGAAAATCTGTTCTGTGACCCCCATGCCAACTAAATACCGTGGTGCTAACAAAACGCCTGCAAAATATCGACCACATTAAGGAAATGTGAAATTAGTTAGTATACAATAATTTAAAAGATAGTCGTCATCATCATCAACAACGACGCCCACATGCATGGATTAAAACGTCCTGAATGTAATAATGTAGCCAATCTTATTTATTATAATTTTTTAAAACTAAAACACAGTATAGGACAATATTATAATATTTTTCAAGCATGAAATGTTAACCTTGAAATGATACTATTGCATCCAGTAACAATGTATGATCGTAACCCTAAATGAGAGGGGAAATTGAATCCTTTTAAGTTATTAAGCAGGAAAGGATTATGAACTCGTCTTTATAAATGAGATAGAAATCCCCATGTCTTCTTCTGTACACTTCTCAATGTCCCCTAAGTAGCTGGAGAGGGAAGATTGTCCCTTTTGGAGAATCCCACATTACAAGAGATCGAAAAACCATTATCCTAAGAAGTGTGCACATGATAGGACGTGTCCCACGTGACAAGCAGTGCTTTAATTAATAGACCCGCAGGCTTGAAAGTACTGTCTGCAATGATGAACTCCCCCACTGGACACAGACGTCAATTCAACGTCTATTCCACGTTGGTTCAACGTAATTTAATTGAAATCACGTGGAAATAACGTTGATTCAACCAGTGGGAACGTTGTGTTTGTGCCGCCACAATAATGTTTCTGATAAGCAAAAGGATGGAATTCCAAAAGCTTCTCCATTTATTACAGTTAGCTGTCCTCGCCTAGGCTACTTTCTATATTTCCTTGCTCTCTCTTATTTGTCTCTTTTTAGCATGACTGCGGAAAACTAAAATCCTGCACATAACAAACACAGGTCGCCAAAAACATTGGGTATACTTTCGCGTTAATGCTCCTCCCAAGGAGAGAACGAATCGAGACATAGTTCAAAGGTTGTCTGTAGAAATGGCCATCTATCAGTTTAACGTGTACCATCGGTTGATGTGTGGTTGTTTAGAAATAATGCCAGGGGCTCTCTAGATGCCATTCCATTCCGCCATTGCTCAGCTTGTTTCAAGTTTCACAAGGGAAGACAAATGCAAGCCATGACATAAATCACCATGTGTACAGATACAAATACTAAGAGTGAATATAGTGGCGGCTAAATGATTAAAGGGGTCCATGTACTGTTAATTGTATAAAAGCTTGTAAAACATGACCCCTGCTAAATATTGTTCACTGCGGTGCAAACGATTTAGCATAAATTAGAAAGGATTGTGTAAGTTTTAGAGAGCGCGGATTCTATTTTAGCCTGTTAGGTGACTGAACTGATTTACGCGTTTTGAGCTTCAAAATTCAGTGTCCTGTGAAAATCAAGAAAAAGCTTTCCTAACAAACCTGTTTAAATTCCAATTATGAACTCCTGTGGTTAGTTTCGGTAATTTGGCAGTGGAGGCTGCTGAGGGGAGGATGGCTCATAATAATGGCTGGAACGGAGTTAATGGAATGGCATCAAACACATGGTTTCCATGTGTTTGATGTATTTGATACCATTCCACGAATTCTTCTCCAGCCGTTACTACGAGCCCGTCCTCCCCAATTAAGGTGCCACCAACCTCCTGTGGTTGATTGACTCCAGGATAACAGCATGGTCTTTATCGTGATTTTGACTGGCCATTTCCATAAAATAGCAAAGCACATAGGCTACAATAATATAGGCTAGTATTACATTAATTTACATTATTTGACAACATTTGGTAGCCTATTGTCTTTCGTAGGCTATAATTGATTTAAAATGTTTTCAACCGTTTTTAAATAATGTGTTTTCTTATAGGCTACTAGTTGCAATAAATAAATTGGTTTAGAAGCAGAAATTATTATTATTAGGCCTATTATTAATTATATTATTATTATTATACTCTATTATTATTATCAATATTATCATCATCGATTATATGATTAGCTGTAGCGAGGACTTTCAGCTTTTGCCCCCTCTGTCTGCAAGAAATCCACCAATGTAAATTTCAGTGAAATGTGTCGACAGCGGGCTGCGGGGAAAGGGGAGGTTAATCCGAGTTTAATGCAGTGAAGCACATCGCAGGGTCTGGGCTATGATGGGTATGTTATCTCTGCCCAACATTTGGGTATCCCTCTATTTCAACCCAGCCAAATAGCTGGAAGAAAGTGCAGATGGAGTTACTCTCAATGCCTGAGGAAAAATAATAGCTAAATAACTTCCCCATACTTTCACTAAATCTCTCTCACACGCTAGCCTATTCCAGATGGATTTGTTTGAAGTGGGTTCTCGCTTCATTCCCCTGTCCTTCTCATTCAGCACAGCTTTAGACCCCGAAATATAGCTACATTATATTTCGTAGACATAGAGGGTGTGTGTGTGTGTGTGTGTGCGTGTGCGTGTGCGTGTGCGTGCGCGTGCGCGTGCGTGAGTGTGTCTGTGTGTGTGCGCCTAGAACTCACTAATTTGAATGCTTCTTTATTTTGGTCTTTACACGTTTTAACTTGTTTAACTTTTTTGTCATTTCAAAAAGGCTACACCCTTTCTGTTATCTCATAGATGAAGTGATTCTTTTCTGTCCCTTTGTATAAAACAACCTTGTTCTTAATCGGCACCCATGGTCATTTAATTGAATATGCACAGAGAAAGCGAGCCCGGAGCCTCGGATTGCCTGACACCACAGTGGCTCTCCGATGCTCTCTCTCATTATCCCTTCCCAACGCCCAGAAAGCCAGTCTGGCCTCTGTTTGATTAGATTGAGAACCTCAGGTAATCCGACGATTTTCTGAAGTGTCCATTGCCTCCACCTTGCCAATTCATGCAGGCTACAGAGGACCGTTTGTTGGTTTAGTAATTGCAGATGGTCCTTTTTAAAAGGACGGATTCATTCTTTCCCTGGCGGTCTGACCATTCATGCACAAACAATATCTCCAGGATTGAGAACATGCACGTTTGGCGTTTTGTGGAACCCCTTCACCCCATTGGTCGCCTAATTAAACTTGGCACGTTCATCGCAGCCCCTCACTATCACTCTGCATTATTGAAGATGGCAGGTGGATGCTCGTTAATTGTGGAAAGCATATATGGATGGATATTCTTATCAAAATTAGATAATGAGCCTGCGTTCCGTTTACAAACGTGGAAGTGCAGTATAACTTTGTCAAATCTCCACACACCATGGTGATCTATCTCCATACCCTTATTTAGCCTTAGCCTATTGTAATTTGCTTGAAATTATACATAAATAGCCTACTTGTTTTATCACGTCAGATTACACATATGTGATGTAAAACTAAAATAAATGAATACACAAATAAATAAACAAATAAATACATTTAATACATCTAAATATCTCTGAAGTAAACCAGAAATCTCATGAATTTGTGCCCAGGGCGAGCGACTGTGAGCCCCGCTCAGAGATGAAAGTGAAAAGAAATAAAAGGCTAAATTTAATCTGCTTTAAAACCCTTCAACATAACGTTTGTGCTTCAAATTCAGAGAGTGAGGGGCTGATTGGGGATAAATACATTTCTTACCATGCCTGCAAGCTATTACACCCCACTCCAACACAGCCGCCTATTCAACAGACAGCGTTACCATTAGGCCTACTTGCTCTAATAAGTCTTAACGTTATTAAAAACCATTTGGATGGTAAACTGCATTAGGGAGAAGACGAATCTTTTTTAGAATTAAAAGGCACGTTTGGTGTTCTGAGTTAACCTATTGAGGACAGATCTGACACGATCATTATGCGAGGTTTCCAACATTCTGATGTGACACCGTTGCAAGCAAATTCATATCTCAGAATAAATATATCAGAATGTAGGGCGGACTAAATTGTTCGATGTAAAACGTGGTAAACGGACTCCTGTTTTTTATTCGTGTGTAAAGCATTGAATAAGAATATAATCATTATCAGAAAAAAATAGCAATAAGATTAAGATTGCAGTTAAACATTCGGCAACAGTTCACCTTAAAACATTCGGCAACAGTTCACCTTGGAATGCAACATGATAAAATCTCTTCGAAATCAGAATCCGAAATTGTACAATAAGTCAATTTGCCTGAAGTTTTAAGCATATCTGTTTACAAACGGAAAAACTAAAATGTTTCCATGATTAAGCACACCATACACAGCTAAGAAACACAATGGTCCGACCTCTAAATGAATAAATGGACACAAGCCATTAAAAAAAGAAAGAACCGTTTTGCACCATCAAATGCGCTTTCTCCTCCAACAGACTATTCCGTAATATTACAAAACTATCTACCAGCGGGGTGTACTGAATAATTCATTTCCCTTTATATCTACCCTGCCCTTTGTCCACACTTTTTTCTCTCTCTCTCTTTGCGGGTTTTTGAATGAGAATGGACCGACCCTTTTGCTGCCCTGCTTTCTAGGATTTACCTTTGTACCTTGGAATCTTCACTTTAGAAAAGCGTCAATGGAGGAGAGAGGTTGTGTGACTGAAGTTCATCTTCAAGTTTGAAGAAGTTTGGCAGTGTCTTTTATGGGAAAAAGCTTTTTGTGCACTCTTATCTAAACCCTATTCAAGGATGTTTGATCATCTTAAAGGGCGACCTTTGTCTTTTTCAGGAAAGGTTTGTATAAGCACTGTGATTTTCTCTCTCTCCATATAGGCTACTCAATGACAGAGAACGCACTGACAAGTGACACAATAGCACGAACCTACTAACTGAATGAAATGTTTCATATAGGCTTATACAAAAATATAAATTAACAATGAATTTGAATTATCTTAAAAGATTAGCTAAATAAATCAATAATGTCGTGCATTCCTATTACCTAATGTTAAAAATAACATTCACAATAAGAGTTGTTATTTTTAAATGTTAACTATTTGTTTGAAAAACGTGTGTTACCAACTAGTTAATGTGTCCATGCCTTAATATAATTGCCATGAGTATTAGAGGGATATGGCTGCAGAGAAGTTGCCCTCTTCGTCTCAGTTTAACTGACAAGAGATGTAGAGCCACTAAACTGACATTGATTGTCAAATGGGTCAACTGTCAGCTGTCGTTTAGGGGGATCGTTAAATGAGCGCGAGAGGAATTTGTTACACAAATTAATTTTCTGGAGCTAAATACCTTCCGTCAGGCTCACATAAATAATTGAGTAATTGAGTAAGGACTAGCTGGGACTTTAAAAGCAGGAATGAATGCACCAATCTGCGAGAGGCTCTTCCGATTTACCATAAATGTATAAGAATTTCCCAAGAGATATATAGAAAAAAACATTTAAATAAATTGTTGACCAAGTTGAAAACGATAAAACATGATAACAAATAACAACTGTAATAGCTTAACCTCCAAGTAATAATGATTATAATAATGATTAGTTATAAAATAGGAATAGGGTCTACTAAAGTGTAATAATAATAATAATAATAATAATAATAACTATAATAATAATAACTATAAAATAATAACAATAATAATAATAATAATAATAATAATAATAATAATAATGATAATCGTTGTTGATGATGCTGCTATTGGAATAATTAATCATGGGCCTAATAGAGCATTATTATGGAAGTGTGTTTATAGGCTACCATACATTGTATTATTGTTTAATACCACAAATAGTAACGACACGATTTAGTCACAATTTATAGCAAAATAAACAGACGTTTTTCTTTGTTGGCCTACCTTTATCGCCGAGAATGCCATCGATGCTATGCTTTGTTTTCTTTTCCCCGTCTTCATCCTTCTTATCACAATCGTCGTCGTCATCTTTCTTGCCGAATCGGGCCCTCAGAACTCGGCTGATGGAACTGACTGAGAGAAAACGAAATAGGCCTTTGATTACATTGAAGTCCTAGTACTTTTGTGTATAAATGAATGATATATTTCTTCATATTTATAGGTTCATGTCAAGACAAGGTGAACAATTCTGAAGTTACAAAAATAGAAGTAAAAGAAGTGAAAACTGCATACCAAATATGTGCATACAGGACTATAGTCTTACAGTAATCACCATAAGAAGGAAAAGTTGCTTACCAGATGAAGCCTCACCTGAAGGAACAGTGCTTCTGTCGCACACCCCGTCCTTCAGCAGCTTGTCCCGAATTTCCCAACTGAACATCCCGGGGTTTTCTCGCTTGTACTCCTCAATCCGCTTCTCCACGTCGGGAGTTGCTACCTGCTGTGGGTTTGAAAATGTACAACGGCCAAACACAGAGAGGGGAAAGTCGAAGCAATTTTTAAGTCACATGAAGAACATGATATGTTAATGTATATGGATACAAACACATATAACAAAGATGAAATATATACTTGTTTCCATGAGGGGGAATTTGAAATGGAGGCGCATGCCTTCTTTCGACATTTCAAACCAAGGCCTATAGACGACTTCCTGATTGTAGGCCTAGTGACTTTTTTGTTTTCGAGATGTAGGCCTATGGTTCATGTCTTCATAGGCTACCTCACAAATCGTACCCACACAAAACTGAATGTATTTTACTACATGCAATACCTATAGTAATAACTTCTAGGCTATAGTCCTAACTATGTTTGTATGTTGAAAAGGTTGCCTCATGCATGCATGCAGGTGCGTAAAATGCACGTGACATGATAACTGAAGAAGACGAAGAAGAAAACGAAGAAGAAGACTGTATCTGAAGTTTGTCGATTGTGAAATAATGTAGAGACTAGTCCTCCACTCACCCTGGGCTTGCTGCCTCCTATAGCCCCGGGACGAATCGAACCGGTCTCCTGGTACCGACAGAGGATTTTGGAGACGCAACCATGGGAAACTCGTAGCTGTCGCGAGATTACGCAGGGTCGGATGCCGTGGTGTGCCATCTCTACTATCTTGTGTCTGATATGATTTGGCAGCGGCCTCCCGTTGATGAACACTCCACCGAGCTGGTTCACCCGACCTTGGCCCAGGGGGGTTGATACTGTTCCACAATAAACATATTCAGGTCCTGCATATTGTCCTGATGATATTGATATTGTTAAAGTTTAATGCGCAAGAGATCAAGTTAGACAACAATGCAATGACAAAGAGGGTAACGTGAAAATAGGCTAAGGATAAACAATTACATATGTTGATGTGAAATTGGTTTGGTGCTATATAATTAATTGATATCTTACCGATAGTTATTTCACATAGACAATAATTAGATACAAAATGAGTAGTCCTAGGCCTGTATAGTTCTTGACTATCAATTGCATGCCTAAATGCAATCAATCATATAGGCTACTCACACATACCTTTAATAATGATAATGATAACAATAACAATAACAATAACAATAATAATAATAATAATAATAATAATTATTATTATTATTATTATTATTATCATCATCATCATCATCATCATCATCATCATCATCATCATCATTATCGTCGTCCCAACCATGATAATAATACATTAGCCTAATAATAATTGTATAGACGTGTCGAATAGCAGTAACGTTGATGATACTATACCATAATATAGGCACTTTTCAAACATATCCCACAGCCCATCCATTCTCACTAGAGAACGCAGACAAACTCATTCCCAGTCAGCCTGGCTGGCAGGATGTATAATTAGAGCCATAGAGCACTTGAGCATCCAATTTCGCATTCAAGAGGCACTAAAGAGTGTGGCACTTTCCACCTTGATTATTCCTAGTCATGCTGTACAAATATTGATGTGATCCTTTGAGCCATCTCTTTGCTGTGTATTTTATTTCCATTTGCAGCAGCAAGATACTTCAACAAATCCTGGAGCTTCAGTAACTTACAAGCTACGTGGTTTTGTGTATTTTCGTTAAAAGCTCTTGAGCACGAACGAACTCGCTGTGACTGGGAACGATTCCCATAAATACATGCAAATACAAATTGGTATTTTTCCGCGCATATGCTAAGATATATATTTTGTTTCCTCGCATAGTTTATCATTTGAATTATAAAATTATCTTAGCAACAATGTCACCATTGGTTTGGTAACTTTTAAACAGGAGGATAGGTCTATTACGCATAAAAAATTATATGAAGTCAAATGTTGATCATCCATATTGTCATTGAACATTTGCATAAAGTAAACATTATAAATAATCATTTAAAAGTAGTCCTATACTTCTAAAATCAACATGTAGGCCTGTCAAGCAATGTTAGGCTGTCTACTCTGAAATATAAAACAACAATTTCAATGTCCTTGTAGGCATAAATCAATAGGTAAATCGAAAACACAATAGCCTAATATTTCACAAAGATGAGCTACAACAAATCGAAAACACAATTGCCTAATATTTCCTAATATTTCACAAAGATGAGCTATAACCTGCCTCCAAGCTGACGAGTTAGTTTTTCTTGCAACTCTCTAGAAAGATTTTCCAAGTAAAATAATATGCCATACCTTCCAGAGGGAATCCAGTGCGGGGGTAGTTCTGGCCTGGCGCAGGGCGCATCATTCGAGGCACTGTTCCTTGTAAAGTAGCCATTCTAGCTACTGAAGAAACACCAAGTGGGTACTGGTACCAAATTCTTACTCGCGCAAAGTCCAGACAAGAAAATGTAGGTCTTTGCCGATAGGATGTAACGTAATGTCTTCTCTCAAAAGGATAAAAAAATCAAACTATAAAATCGTAGTCCCAGACAGAGAAACTCGTAAATACTAAAACCCCTCCAACAGAAAAAGTGGTGATATTAGACATGCAGAGAAATGCCGGGGTAAAAGAACACCCCAATAGTGAAGAGGTTTGTGGTGTGTAAAGGGAGGGGATACACCTTGAACTCAAATGTGTAAATGGACAAAGGTTATTTAATTCTTTGCCTTGATATACTTAGTGGTCAACAGCTAGTTTTGATAACGTCTGCTTGCTGGTTGAAAGTATAAGTGGCCAACTTTGGCGCACGTTGTAGGAGGAGACAGTAGAGCTCGCGGATAGGCTCGACGGCCTTTATTTTATTCATGATGGGAGAGTGGGTTTAGCCACCGACCTGCCGACCAATCAGACAACGGCATAGGACGCAAAGCACACATTTCGTTTTGAATTCATTGCATCACTACCTTTACTTTACAAAACTAAACTAAACAAATGTGATGGTAATCCTTATACCTGAATAAAAAACGACTCCTTCTTTGCTCTGTCCACACGTGAATCAATCATTCGAAAATATGTATGAATGTTATGAATGCATATCTACATTTGTGTATGTTGGCTACATCAAGATTCCTAAAACCACATTTTATGTATACATCTATGTGTGTGTGTGTGTGTGTGTGTTAGGTTGTGCTAGTGTGTGTCCAGAACACAGACGTTAGTAGCCTAAATTCCAGGTTGAAACTTGGAGATAATTATTTCTTCTGGTCAACTTTTTATGATATCAGGCAGTGATTTGAGGTGTAACGCTATAGGAAAAATACTAAATTAAAAGGGCAAGAAAGGTTAAAGTTCACTAAATATTAGGTCTACTCCAAGAGCAACTCTATTCCCTCGCGCATTGGTACCCGCATTTCCATGGGGATGGATTGGACCTTTATGGCGAGGGACTGAGGTGCCATAGCAAGCTTGAAGAAATCCGGCACAGCGGGCTATGACGCCGGACCACACCAATAAGCTGCATTCATTTATTGAAAGGGAACTTTGCCCTCATAAATCGTAGAAAGGGGCCCAACAAGCAAAACGTAAGTGGCCTAACTGTGAGTTGCAAAGCATGCAATGACCAATAATCGAGATTAGTAAAGGCCTATCTGGTTTATCTCTGTTTCAACGACTTTTCAATTGCAGATTGAAGTAATTGTAATTGAATGAATTGAAAAAATTGTCTGACGGGAAATTGTATTTACAACTCACTCAAACAATACAAATTGAATATAATATAAATACATATAAATGCATTTAACTTACAGATGTAGGCTATTAGAGGTGATTTCTATTGAAACTAGCTCACAGGAATGTATCATTCAAAATCATGATCTGATGCATAGCTTACTTTTTTAAAGACACATTTTTGGCAATATGTTCAGACTGGATTCAGAAGAGTAGGCAAATTCAGGAAATTTCAGGGGCTTGAGAGGGGGTTTACTTTAAGTCTATGCCTCGTTATTGATTTGAATGATTAACAATATGATCGACTAGTTATCAGCGTTCTCTGCTGCAGAAAACACCTGTGGCTTGCCTAGGTTCCACGGACATCCGTGGAATTCAATAGCACAATATAGGTTAAGAAATGTCATTTTGGATGTTAACATTTTAACTTTCATTAGGCCTAAAATTGCGTGTCAAGAACGTCAAATCGTTTTAGTAAGACGTGCAAGCTTATTGGTATAGCCTACTTACAGAAATTACACCGACCCATTGTGGTAGTATAACAACAGGCAGGCATAAATAACATTTACAAGAGGGATCTTTCGAATAGCAATAGCTTAAAGCCAATTGTAATAAAGGGAATAGGTTAAAACTATTACATTCTTAAGAAAGAGTTGCGTGTGTCAACTCTGTGGGCCTGCCGTGCATAGAAAATTGTGTGACAATTGCCGTGGAAAACACTCCTGGTGGAAGGCAATTTCACAAATAATTTTTGCAACAATTAGGGAGTGTGGAGGGGTGAAATGGCGATTTCACATGCAGATGCGCCGGTGGGGAGGACCTGGTACCCTGCCGAATAGCTATGACCCTCACTCTCCCGCTTTGGTTTGCTTCACATGTGATAAAAAGGCACAAAGAGCCCGCCTCACCCTCCTGGGAAGACTCACCGAGCATTAAGTCAAGCATCAATCACTTGAAAACCAAACAAAAGCTTTTTCCAGAAAAACATTCTTTAGATGGAAACTTCGGCTGTCCCTCTACAAGGTCTGGGTATCTCCTCTCTCTCTCTGGGTATCTCCTCTCTCTCTCTCTCTCTCTCTCTCTCTCTCTCTCTCTCTCTCTCTCTCTCTCTCTCTCTCTCTCTCTCTCTCTCTCTCTCTCTCTCTCTCTCTCTCTTTCTCTCTCGCTCTCTCGCTCTCTCGCTCTCTCTCGATAAAGAGATGTCTGTAAAACAACTTCCCTCAAGTGTGAATTTCGAACCTCTGGATAATGTAAGACAGCTTCAGTATCTTTTTACTTAAAGTGTCCATTCAAGTTTGTCTTTGCTTTTTTGAAATTCCTGTAAAATAATATGAAACATTTAAAATGTAATATTATAAAATCAATAAACAGTAAACATTCACATTTTGTTCTTTAATGTGGTCCTAAATCAAATGCAAACAAACATGCTGATGACATGATGATAATAACAATTATTATTATTATTTAAAACAATGTTACAGATAATATAGTTTTAACAATGTGAATATCAACAATATCAGGCAATATATTTTATACAATTATGTGTTTTGTCTGGTCCACTTGCTTTTAGGTTTCCAATAAGGGCTATGAAAAAGTAACAGGACTACACTGACGAAATAACCAGCCATGCATTATCACTCAATGCATTTGTTTGCAATCCACAACCACAATTCAGCCACGACTCAAATTGAGCACCCCTGTAACATTTTATTTTGTGAACTCGTGACATACCATGACACCAAAAGACTTGAGACTTTTTTTTAGGTGAGTCAGAATTAAGCATTGTGCGCTATATCATTTACACAGTCATTGTGTTCTCGTTTTGGCTGCATTATCAGCTAAATACTTTTAGGGGCGTGATGGCTCAATGAGGTGCGCTCTGTCCACTAGTGGGCAACGATGTCTTCACTTTACATCACCTCTCTATGTCCTCTTATATTCACGAGGTAAACGAATGGCTGATGAAGTACAGCAAACTACTACATGCAGGAGAATTTCTGGTGAGCCTTTCTGTCTGCCCTCCTGCCATAGCACAGGAGGGGGATATTGGGTATTTGTCCAGAGAAAGATGTCTCATTGTGACCGTTGACAGTTGATTGACACGGGTCCTCCAGGCTATAAAACATGTTTACCATCAGGGGTATTCACATCCAGCCCCTCTCTTTGCATCTGATTCCAAGAAGGGACTGTCACTTTTTATTTTTCAACTTCACAAGTCAGAGAACACTTCTCCTTTTATCATATTGTCTCCAATCTTATCTTGATCAGGGGTTTGTTCTTCAAACAGTTTGCTACATAGCCTCATTATTTGTGACATGGCAATTACCCAAGTTTCTTTTTAGCTCATAGGTGAATACTGCTGTTTCTCTGCAAGGCATCCTATCTCCCTCCTTCATCAACTCATAGTGTGCCTTGTACAATATTTAGCTATTCATGTTGGAAGTACACAAAGAAAGCCTACCTTTGGTGAGAGGCATTGCCTATTTAACCATTATCTTTCTGAACAAAGTCAAGTATTGCATGAATAAAGCTTCAATGAATCTTGTGGGGTTACCATCTTGTAGTATGACTTTACAAATAATAATAATAATAATAATAATAATAATATGCCATTTAGCAGACGCTTTTATCCAAAGCGACTTACAGTCATGTGTGCATTTTTATTATTTTTTGTGTATGGGTGGTCCCGGGGATCGAACCCACTACCTTGGCAAGTGTCACTTCCCTAAGATATTACTCTTTTCCCAGTGCAGTTCTCTCTTTCATATGAAGGTGTATCTACAGCACAAATATGCAATGCTTATCCTTTTGTTGGTGTGAAAATGTGTACATTACTGAATTGTAACAAATTGTACACTGTATAGTATACACTATCCACTGCAAAGGAGACAAATCTATTTGCAACAAAAAACAAAATTCCGATACAGACTACCAATTCAAATATTTCCCACTAAGGAAAATAGCAAATCTTGGGTCCTTTACCAATGTCCAAAACATGAAAAACATAACATATACTGTTAACCAGTAATCATAGAGCTTCTTGTTATTTTACACTCTCCTATAAGATAAGACTCCTTCATACTACAAAGCACTATTTGTTTCTCTCTGGAGTCTCTGCCTTCACACACAGCTTGTGGGCTCCACTTTGTATGCACTGTTTCTTTAATTTTGAGCTATACTTGATGTATCTGAAAATTATAATCTTGAAGAAAAACACAACAATTTTACTTATAAAATACGTCATGTCCATACAGAGGTGATAGAGCGGTATAACAGTCTCTATCTCTCCTCTGTGGCCTGGACTGTGTTCAGACAGGTGTGACTGGCAGGACAATGCTAGTCATCTGCCAGGTCCCAGGCTCAGGAGACTGCCCTCCCACTCCCAGAGACCGCACCATGGTTCTGCAGCTCTGAGACTGTGACGCTGTCTGCTCTGCTCTGCATGTCCAGTGGAATCTTGTTAACTTGCTGAGGCATGTTCACATCTGCTCGGAATTATCCAAATGTTTTATTGCTTCCTTATGGGAATTATTTGATCAGCATGCGGAGAGAGAGCGTATATAAAACAGTCTTGAAAGAGGGAAGGAGAGCTGCTTTCTTTACTTTGTGGTTTCATTAATCAGAGGGCGCTGCTCAGAGATACTCATCTCATTAGTACAGACAGGGGG